GTCGGCGCAAATATAGGGAGGAAAAACATTGTGGTGCAAATTTGATAATTTATGTGTGTTCATTGACATGGTTATAGCATTATGAATTTCAAGATACATAGGACTTGGGAGTGCCACATGCTAATTATATGTACATTTATCTTTGGATCAAAATTTTTATTATAGGAGTATATTAAATATTTATAGTTTGAATTAGACTGTTTTTTTTTATATAATATGTCAAGGAGTGAGATTTTCATTATAAACTTTATTTTCTCGATTTTTGGTGAAATGAACAATTATAAGTGCTTGTTTGAAAAAGTTTAAAAGTTGATATCAAAATCTACAATTAATTTTAACGACACGTTACATATGATTCACAACTACCATCAACTTTCCTCCGTTCATTTCGTGGGATCTACCCCTCCGTTTTTTTTAATCAAAATCAAATTTTTAGCTCTTAGAAGCAAGCACTAATATGTGGTCCTTAATTTTTTTTCTGGCTTATTATTTGTTCACAGATTCAAAGGTTAATAATTCATAAGATTATCTCCAAGAAACTCTGAAAGTAAGATTCTCTTTATTTGAAGAGCCAAAGCTTAAAATTAAGTTGAATAAGACTCTTTTATTTTAACTTTTTAAAATAGAGTACCTTTTAAAATTGAGAGTTAGCCAAATTCACTCTCTAGATGTATCTTATCAAGATTGCATTTAATATAATTACAAGTTTTAATGTTCTACTACTTAAATTAATTATATTATATTGAATATTTTTGCTACGGGCATATAATAAATATATATTGACTGGAAAAATGAGAGAAAAGCAATAAATGAATGTTGAAAAAAGTAAAATAAAGAGAAAAAAAAAATAAATGGTTTTTCGGAATGTATAAAAAAATTAATTTTTAATCTAAAGATATGTTCCAAACTGCGTCCATTTTTACCTTTTTCCTGGGGTATTCTATCAATTTAGCCAACTTTTATTTGGCAATCTAGTATGTGACACTATATTACCTATTTTTCAAAGCATGTTTAAACGCTTTAAAATATTTCTAATATATAGGTTTTTTTTTTTGGCTAAATTGTAGTCACACTCATACCCTTAGTGGTGTACATGTTTGAACTGGTGTTCATGTTTATGTTCGTGTTCATATATTGTATTTAACAATTAATTATGTGATTTAAGTTGCTCGAATGGGTGCACACTGCATAGTATTATTTGTTAGACAAAAAAACAATTTGAGAACGAAATTGAAAAACATGTCATCATTAATTAATGTACTTAGGAGTTTGCATTCATTTTTCATGCTTTAGATTGATCTTTTAGTTGCATTCTCTTATTTTTTATAGGGTAGGTTTAGGTTATACCCCATAGGGCATAGCTAAGTGGTACAAAGGACAGAAGTGAGATAGTCTCAACTTAGTTGGTAGCCGCAGTGTGAGTGTTCGATTCATGTCTCTTACAATGTATGAAATTGAATTCTTTGTGGGTACAGTATGACAGTTATTGTACCATAACCTGTTGAGACACATCTCGCGATTTACTTTCTCCACAATGCTCTAGGGGCGGGGCGGGGCGGGGCGGGGCGGGGCGGGGTTCAACCTTTAGGGTAGGTTTAGGTTATGTTTTGCATGTTTTCATGAGTTAAATGTTTAATTAATGGCACAATGGCCGTTTCAAAAAGCTAGAACTTTGCATTTTCTCACTTTAATTCATACATATTAAATGAAAAGGGTAAGAAGATTTTAGAGTATTTTCGAGCACAAACAATTGTTTTACCATAGATTTAATTAACACTAGGTGCAAGCAACGTGCAATGCACGTTTACCTAGTTTA